CAAATGTGTAAATGCTGATATCAATTACAGTTGCTGCTAGAAGTGCTTTATTCTGTTTGAACAAATGGCGGGCTGAAAGATTATAAACCCATCCCTGATAAAAGTTGGGAAATCAAAAAATGCTCAGTAGAAAGAACAAGCACAGATGGTTATATATTAAACTTAATGCTTATTTCTAGACATTTGTTTTCCCCATTTATCACATTGTCTGATGTATATAATGGAGCCAACTTGGTGTAGCGGCTGGACGCTCGCCTACAGATGGAAGGTCGTTGGTTCAGTTTCTGATGAAGCCGGACTTTTAAAAAAATGACTATGGTTCCTGGGTCGACTCAATCTTAAATGGATACCAGGTGCAGTCCTGTGAAGTAAAGGCGGCCGATGTGATACTGACAACATCACCAACCTACTGGTCTACAAAATATAGGTCAAAAACACCTGAAGAAAGAAAGGGGATTTTACTTTTAACCTTCAAATGTTCCTTTGTATATCTTGAATACAAAGAGGGGTATCGTTTTTTGAGCTGAGAAATCATTGCTGGCATAAAAATTCTGAGAACAAAAAATTCTTGTGCCATAGGTTGGAGCTTACAGGTAGGGCACAAGTAGTCAGTGTATACCTTACTGTACAAGGAGTTCCGATTACTGATTTCAGAATCGAAATCATAGCACACCGGGCATACCCATAAGCTCTCCGTCTCCGGCAGCCAAGGAGTTCCGATCAGTAGCTTTAAATGTTGCCATTTCGGAGAAGAAAATTCTGTTTGAAGATACAGCGAAGTGTTTAAATCATAATATTGTATAAAATGTTTTTTTTTTTTTTTTTTTTTTTATTCATTTTAAATTTAAAAAAAAAAAAGCTGCAGAGCTGACTCAGAGATACACCATACACTTCTTAATTTGGGAAGTGTCGCGTCAAAATCTGGTTGTAAACATCATCAACTATCAGATCCTTCAGAGAACGTCGCTCTCTTTATGGCACGCCTGAAAGTCTCTTTATCAAGTCAGTTCTCCAGCCCTGTGTCCTTTCATAGCCAATGTTTCTACAATGTCCTGTTCCCCATTCATGAAGGTCAGCCTCTGCATCGTTTTCCGAAAACTGTGCCCTTCATCGCCGTTTTTTCCAGGTCACCGTGACGTTTATTATGGCAAGAATATCTCTGCTTTCCGAAGAGGATGCTATATATGAGCCAGTTCTCCTCGATAGTGTTTAAATCACGTAGTCTGTCCAAGTTTTTCTTCTTCTTCTTGTTCCACGATATTCTGTGAAAAATTGTTCCTTAAAGATTGAGTCAGAAGATTTTTCTTCCGGCTTCCGTGTAATTTCTAGGCCTAAATATATGTGGTAGTTTCACCCACATGGCTGATCAGCTCAGCCTTCAGCAATCTGTTAGATTGCTAGATCTGTCTGTCTATCTGTCTGTCTGTCTGTCTGTCTGTCTGTCTGCCTGCCTGTCTGTCTGTCTGTCTGTCTGTCTGTCTGTCTGTCTGTCTGTCTGTCTGTCTGTCTGCCTGCCTGCCTGCCTGCCTGTCTGTCTGTCTGTCTGTCTGTCTGTCTGTCTGTCTGTCTGTCTGTCTGTCTGTCTGTCTGTCTGTCTGTCTGTCTGTCTGTCTGTCTGTCTGTCTGTCTGTCTGTCTGTCTGTCTGTCTGTCTGTCTGTCTGCTTACTCCTCTGTCTCCTTACTTGCCTACCTACTTATTGATCTACCTACTTACCTACGTACTTATTGATCTACCTACTTACCTACGTACTTATTGATCTACCTACTTACCTATCTGTCTTCTACAGGCCTGTGTAGCTACTTGTCTGCCTACTTACCTGTCTGTCAACACACCTATCTACCTGCCTGTCTACCTACCTGCTTACTTAACTATTTTCCTACCTTCTTGTTTGTCTGCATTCCCATTTACTTTGCTGTGGGCTTAGATGCATACTGATCTAATTTATGGTGTCAATTGTTATGTTTTCGAGATTAATGTCACCGCATATTCAAAATTGCCATAAGTACACAGTCCTCCAGTGCAGCAGCCATCCAAGATATCCATGTTGACTGTTCAGGCAATTATAATTTCAAGGTGTAAAACACTGTTGTCACATTTACTTTTATATTTTCTCTCCAACAGAACCTGGAAGTAGTCAGTCTTACTCTTTTCAGAAACAGCTATCCAACTCATCTCTTTTGAACGAAACCATGGACAGTAAGGTAATCATTGTCTTCAGTGCCTGGTTTGTCAGTGTGAGGTAATGGCAAGGTTCTATCAGGATAGGTGTTTCTAGGATGGAAGATTCACATTCTTAGACACCGTTCCTTCCCCTAAAAATTCTTTTATTTTTTACTTTTGTGTTGTCTAGTGTGTCCTTCAGTCTGTACACCTTTCGTGTGTTAGTGGTGATACCACTAATGCCAATTACAACATTAAACGTGATTCTACAGTCTGTACACCTTTCATATGTCAGTTGTGATACCACTAAAGCCAATTACAACAATACACGTGATTCTACAGTCTGTACACCTTTCATATGTTAGTTGTGATACCACTAATGCCAATTACAACATTAAACGTGATTTAGTATCCATGTCCAAGTTAGCGAAGATAGGGGTGCAGCCTGGAGTAGCCAAACATGAACATTCCAGTCAATCATGGTGTGTGATTAATCAACACAGAACAGGCGTGATGACTGGGTTTTTGAATCGGTTTTTGTGGAGCTATTTTAGAGATCGAGGGACATTTGGATCTTTGCAGTGATGTGTTGTTAGCACCTACTGATTAGTTTGTTTGTTGTCATATTTAAATGACCTGACAGATTCCCCAGGGATTTATTTCTGCGTGTTTTGTGGAGTGATACATTTGCTGTGTTGTGTGTTTGTTAGTGGAATTAATCCAATGAACTGTGACTAAGAAGTTTAACGAAAGGGAGAAGGGGGATCAACGTACACATAACAAAAACACGTTAGCCTTTCTCAATATACACCACAAGAACAACCAGAAAGGGCAATTACCGAGGCCGCCAGTCCCCAACCGGGCGGTCACGCGAAAAACTATAAAATACAGAAGAGGAAAGGGTGTGGAAGTGAAGCAGAAGGAATAAGGAGACGATGGAAATAAAGAGGAGAAACGTAAAGGAGGCCTTCTGACTTCAAGACAAATAAGAGGGAAGAAAAGGCGAGATCTTGCTGCGTTAGAGATTCCAGTAGGTATCTGAAGCGCAAGCAGCAGTAAACAGAGTTTTCTCTACTATGGACTCTAGAACTGTGAAACTAAAGCTATAACTAGGACAGTAACTACACTAGCAACAAATAGCACATCGAAATCACTACAGTGGACTAAAACTAAGTATCAAAAACACTGGTACAAACAGTGCCTTTATTATTATTGTATAGCAGTATCAAAACGGCCAGTTTAGCTCAACAGTACATCACACAGATGCCATGCAATGGGGGAACAAACACATTACTTGAATACATCCAGAATTACTTACTTCAGCTAGTGATCGACTGACAGGAGACATAACACACAAGACTGTGGGTAAGCTTAGTAAACCTGACACTACTTTACTACTGGCTACTAGGCAAAATAACACTAACCCTAAAACTACACACCCAACATTTTACACAGGCAGTACTAGCACATGCTAATAATTTGTGATATGATCATATGATGTGGTGGTATCAAAGAAAAGAATTATTCATAAATGTGTAATAAAAGTCAATGGTGTTATTTTGGGACAAGAACAGACATTTAAGTATCTGGGCACATGGATAACATCAGATGGAAGATGCATTACTGAGATAAGACAGAATAGGACAGATAAAAACTGGATTTTATAAAATGAAGAACATCTTGTGCAATATATCTTTGTCATTGAGAGTTTTAAAAAGAATTCTTGCTTGCTACATACATCCATTTTTAACATATGGCTGTGAGTCCTGGACAATCGGTAGGCAGGCCAAACAATTTCTTGAGGCCTCAGAGATGTGGTTTTACAGAACAATGCTTAAAATACCCTGGACAGCCAAAAAGAGCAACCAAGAGGCTTTGAAAGAGGCGGGAGGCCGAAGACATCACAGACATCAGAAGGAAACAGTCATCATTTTTTGGCCATGTTATGAGAGGAAAAATGGAAAACGTTGTGACAACTGGAAAGATCTGTGGAAGGAGGGATAGAGAAAGACAACTAGAGAAGATTCTTGACAGTCTTGTTGCATGGCGTGGAGGTGTTTCAGCACACGAACTAATACATGCTGCAGGAGATCGCGGATTGTGGAGACGTATGGTCGCCCACACCATTCGGCAAGGCACCTGATGATGATGATGATGATGATGATGATCATTATCATCACAGATGAATTGATTAAATCATTAACACTGGGAATCTATGCACTCTGATAAGCAGAGGAACGGGTGTGAGAGGAATAAAGCACAGAAACTAGTAGCAGTAATCGTTATACTAAAAAAACTAAGGCGTATTAGGAATTTAGGGCTCGATTTATATATTTTAGACCATTTCGGCACTTGGTGGGTGGTGTGGTCAGCATCACGCCGGCCGCCTTTACTTCCCTGGACTGCACCTGGTACCCACTCAAGGCTGGATCGACCTGCGAGAATAATAGTAATAATAATAAACAGAATTGATGCTCGTACAAGCGATGGAAATAATGGTGTGTTAATGGACTCTACTACCCCGTGTATGAAGAACTCTTAGTTGCCTGTGTTCCATTATCATCTCTACAGGTTGATCCTAGTGGCACAGGCAGGGTCTCGTGGCCAGGACTAGGAAAACGGCAAGTGATAACAAATGGACATTCATGTTCTGACACAGCTCTTATTGAATCAACATCAAAAGGTGAACTACACGGGCTCAAGCAGAGAAGATGCTCCACAAAGCTGCAAGACTTCATCAACAGAACTGTAGTGCCTCTCCTACTGATCATTCTGATTCCAAACTTGGTGATGGTTATGTGGTACACGGTCATCTTTTGTGAGGGCAGCTATTTGAAAATGTTGTCTGTTTTGGTCAATAAGTCGTTTATAGGTGGAGTTATAGAAATATGGAGTCATGTTCACGCTCCATCTCTCCCCGTCCTGTGTATCCTCATCATGTATGCAGTGTATACCATTTGTGTGATGAAGATTCTTCCAGGACCAACAGTCTATGGACCGGTCACTCCAAAAGGCAACATCCCAGTGTATACAGACAATGGCTTTAAGCATTACCTTCTGACCATGGCTCTCTTTTGTTTTCTGACGTTTCTGCTGCATCCACTTGGACTCTCACCTTCCATAATTTACGATAGGTTTGACGAAGTTCTCGTCTCCTTGAATGTGTTCAGTCTCATATTCTGCATATTTCTGTACCTGAAAGGGAAGTTTTCTCCCTCGTCTACCGACTCGGGATCATCTGGGAATATCATCTTTGACTACTACTGGGGCATGGAGCTGTATCCAAGGGTGTTTGGCGTTGATATTAAACTCTTCACCAACTGTAGGTTTGGGATGATGGCTTGGGCACTTCTGGTCTGTGTGCATGTGGTCAAAAGTTATGAACTGCATGGGTTTGTAGACTCTATGTTTGTGTCTGCCTTCCTTCAGCTGCTCTACATCACTAAATTCTTCTGGTGGGAGTCGGGATACCTACACACCATTGATATCATGCTGGACCGTGCCGGGTTCTACATCTGTTGGGGTTGTCTGGTCTACATCCCAGGAATGTACACTTCCGTTTCCTTGTACCTCGTCAGCCACCCAGTGAGGCTGGGACCTTTACTTGCTGATGTCATTCTACTTCTTGGGGCATTGAGTATTTACGTCAACTTCAGCGCTGACAAGCAGAAACAAGATGCCCGCCGGACGAACGGTGACTGTACCATCTGGGGTCGCAAGGCACAAACCATCCGTGCCAGATACCAGCTTGAAAATGGAGAAGTGAAAGAAAGCCTTCTCCTAGCCTCCGGTTGGTGGGGATTGTCCCGTCATTTCCACTACGTGCCGGAGATTCTGTTAGCTTTCTTCTGGTCTGTTCCTGCTCTCTTCCAGAATTTGTTTCCCTACTCATATTTAATTTTTCTGACAATCTTGCTGACGCACCGCAGTTATCGAGATGACCACAAATGCAGAATAAAATATGGCCCAGCCTGGGCTGAATACTGCAAGAAAGTGCCCTATAAGATTATACCGTTTGTTTTCTAGTTGCTCACCTTACGGCCATTTTGTTGTTAAATATTTATTCCAAATGTTATATCTTTTCCTGCTAGCTTCCTAATTTTGCCTAATGTTTATTGTGGGTTTTTTTCCATCCTTTTTTTTCTCCAGTAAGTAGTGAGGCTTTGGGCACTTAGTATGTATAGTTCTCTGATGTGCACTCTTGAACCAAATACTTGGGGTTGTTTTTTTTATTATTATGTACACATTAGTGCTGTTCGCTACACTGTTTTATAAGTGCGCACTAGTACTGTTCGTTCCACTTTTTTAATTGAGTACGCACTAGTACTGTTCGTTCCACTTTTTTAATTGAGTACGCACTAGTACTGTTCGTTCCACTTTTTTAATTGAGTACGCACTAGTACTGTTCGTTCCACTTTTTTAATTGAGTACGCACTAGTACTGACTGTTCGTTCCACTTTTTGAATTGAGTACCCAATAGTACTGTTCGCTCAGCTGTTTTACTAAGTACGCACTAGTACTGTTCGTTCTACTGTTTTACTGTGTGCTCACTAGTAGTGTTCATTACACTGTTTGACTATGTCTACACTAATACTATTCACTCCAATGTTTTACTGTGAGTACACTAAATAGTACTGTTTATTCCACTGTTTTACTGTGTACGCACTAGTACTGTTCTTTCCACTGCTTACTGTCTATGCACTAATATTGTCCATTAACTAATACTGTTCATTACACTAAATTTGTACGCAGTAGTACTGTTCATTGCCGTGTTTCACTGTGTTCACAGTAATACCGTTCATTCCACTGTTTTACTAATCACTCACTAGTATTGTTCATTTCTACTGTTTACTGTGTAAGCACTAAAATGAGTGGGTAAATAAAACATCAGGCTGGGGTATTTCAAGTGTTTGCCATGTAGATTTGTCCGGTGTGATGGCAGGCATGCATGAATGAGACCTCTTTCTGTGCTGACGCTGCCAGCTATTCCAGGAGTAGAGAAAGGAGATTTTTGTTTTGTAATTTTTTCAATGGTTATAAACTCAGACGAAAAGTTGTGGTTGTTCGTCCACTTCTGGACCTCAGTCTTGTTCTGTGAACTGACTCGCGCGTACACATCTATTTTACATATGGCTTTTTGAAAGCACACTATTGGTTCCTTGCCTCCCAGGCAGATTCTCCGACTTTGAAGGAAACCCTTCATTAGTCGATTCTTACGACATACCTTTTAGGGAGGCATTGAATCTTCCACTCCCCCCCCCCCCCCATAATCCCCACAGCTGGGCCCAGGAACTCACAGTAAAAATGTATCAAACTACATAAGGACAGAGAGTGCTGAGTTGGGTTTGAGAGTTGATGTACGTTGTTGCTGCATTTATATTCTGTTGATGTCATTTGTTGACGTCGACATGGAGTCAGTAATGTTCACGTGAGAGTCTCGGTTAAGTATCGTTAATCTAGATCGACTGTTCGAGATTTTACAGACTGATAGTTATTGGCACAAGACGCCAGTTGTTTGGCTCAGAAATGTATGGGGACATTACTCCTCCCCAAAGTATCTCTTCTTTTATTTTTATGTTTTTTAAAATAATGATGATGTCACCAGCAAGGGCGAAATGAGCGAGCTGCTGTGCCAAGGCCTACTTAGTTCCATTTCTGGTTGTAGCTGAGGGTGTCTTCTTATCCCGCCTGTAGTCAGTGCGCATAATAATGTGATAACCCTGTTCTTACATGATTTGTATCTGTTAGTTTTTCTTGTGTAAAATTGATACTATTGCGTCTTTGCATTTTTAAATGTTGCCTTTAGTCGGATAAAGACTTTCTGTGGGACCCCATAGTGCTTCGTAAATGTTCACAGCGGTTATCTGTCATTACTATCAAGCACCTGTTCATAGTCAACATATATAGTATAAAGTTGCAAGTTCACTGTAATATTTTGCTTTGTTATTGTATATTATGGTTATCTGATCAGTGTAGGGCCTATTTTTTTTTAACTTGCCTATTCATCTCCTATCTATTTGTCATTGTCATCTCTTACTCACTGTGATAGTTCCAGGCAGTGAGGTTCTGCACTGCAGATGCTGATATATGATTTTGATGTCATTATGTTCCAGGAGATAAATATGTACAGGTATCATTTTCCTGGAAAGAGAAAACGGGCGCCCAAAAACAACATGGAGACGAACGATGGAAAGTGACCTGAGTGCGGCATCTTTGATATGGAAAAATGCACTGAAGATTGCACAAGACAGGAAAGCATGGAAAGTCCTCTCTGAAGCCTTGTGTGCTACTAGGCATAACGAGAACTGATGATGATGACGATGATCATTGCACTGGGTACGTTAGTTATATAAACCCTGTTGGACAGAGGAGACTTGGACAAGGTCTGATGGTGAATGAAGTAATGAAGCATGTGGTATTCGACTTGGGCTAGTGGATTCACATTGCAAGGGCAGTTTAGTGTGTACAGACTGAGGGTGGTGACTTAAGTTCGAATCTCATAAATGTATGTGCCACGGTAGATTGTATTGTCTGGAGGGATCTTTGGGACTGGCGCAAGGCATTGGAAGAATGACCAAGTGATGGGCTGCTCGTGTGTGGCGACTTCAGTGCGGGGATTAGAAAATGTGACCACGGCGGAGAAAACCGACAAAATTGTTCTTGCAGATGCCATGGCTGACTCCGGTGTGGTCTGCACAATTGAGAGGAGCCGACTAGAATGGCAATGAGGCCGGGCGATGCAGGCACAGTTACTGAATTGACATTTGTCTCTCAGTCATCTGTTCTTGATGCAAGATGAACTGTCTTGACTATGAGAGTGAGCACCAGCCATATTCAGTCCTTATTTTCTCTGAGCGTCCAGTATTGGCCAGACCCCGTCGTCACCCCGAGCTGCATCACTCCTGCCACACTCATGATCCGTCGTCACCCCCAGCTGCATCACTCCTGCCACACTCATGATCCGTCGTCACCCCCAGCTGCATCAGTCCTGCCACACTCATGATCCGTCGTCACCCCCAGCTGCATCACTCCTGCCACACTCATGATCCGTCGTCACCCCGAGCTGCATCACTCCTGCCACACTCATGATCCGTCGTCACCCCGAGCTGCATCACTTCTGCCACACTCATGATCCGTCGTCACCCCCAGCTGCATCACTCCTGCCACACTCATGATCCGTCGTCACCCCCAGCTGCATCACTCCTGCCACACTCATGATCCGTCGTCACCCCCAGCTGCATCACTCCTGCCACACTCATGATCCGTCGTCACCCCGAGCTGCATCACTCCTGCCACACTCATGATCCGTCGTCACCCCCAGCTGCATCACTCCTGCCACACTCATGATCCGTTGTCACCCCGAGCTGCATCACTCCTGCCACACTCATGATCCGTCGTCACCCCGAGCTGCATCACTCCTGCCACACTCATGATCCGTCGTCACCCCGAGCTGCATCACTCCTGCCACACTCATGATCCGTCGTCACCCCCAGCTGCATCACTCCTGCCACACTCATGATCCGTCGTCACCCCCAGCTGCATCACTCCTGCCACACTCATGATCCGTCGTCACCCCGAGCTGCATCACTCCTGCCACACTCATGATCCGTCGTCACCCCGAGCTGCATCACTCCTGCCACACTCATGATCCGTCGTCACCCCCAGCTGCATCACTTTTGCCACACTCATGATCCGTCGTCACCCCCAGCTGCATCACTCCTGCCACACTCATGATCCGTCGTCACCCCCAGCTGCATCACTCCTGCCACACTCATGATCCGTCGTCACCCCCAGCTGCATCACTCCTGCCACACTCATGATCCGTCGTCACCCCGAGCTGCATCACTCCTGCCACACTCATGATCCGTCGTCACCCCCAGCTGCATCACTTTTGCCACACTCATGATCCGTCGTCACCCCCCAGCTGCATCACTCCTGCCACACTCATGATCCGTCGTCACCCCCAGCTGCATCACTCCTGCCACACTCATGATCCGTCGTCACCCCCAGCTGCATCACTCCTGCCACACTCATGATCCGTCGTCACCCCCAGCTGCATCACTCCTGCCACACTCATGATCCGTTGTCACCCCGAGCTGCATCACTCCTGCCACACTCATGATCCGTCGTCACCCCCAGCTGCATCACTCCTGCCACACTCATGATCCGTCGTCACCCCCAGCTGCATCACTCCTGCCACACTCATGATCCGTCGTCACCCCCAGCTGTATCACTCCTGCCACACTCATGATCCGTTGTCACCCCGAGCTGCATCACTCCTGCCACACTCATGATCCGTCGTCACCCCGAGCTGCATCACTCCTGCCACACTCATGATCCGTTTCTGCTCCCAGCTGCATCACTCCTGCCACACTCATGATCCGTCGTCACCCCGAGCTGCATCACTCCTGCCACACTCATGATCCGTCGTCACCCCGAGCTGCATCACTCCTGCCACACTCATGATCCGTTTCTGCTCCCAGCTGCATCACTCCTGCCACACTCATGATCCGTTTCTGCTCCGAGCTATACACGTGCTCAATGTTTATTGTTGTTTGTTTTTTCAAAGGTTTGGTGAAACCCAACATCGGCATTCACTTTCCGCTTCCTCTCTCATCTCTTCCATCTAGACTATAATTCTCCTTTCTTCATTTGCTAGGGGGCTGCGTAGTCTCCAGGCATGGTGTCCGCCTCGAGTGCTAGAGGTTCCGGGTTCAATCCCCGATAAGGGCTGGGATATTTTCACGTGGACGGACTTCTGGTATTCCCACCCCCCCCCCCCCTCTCTCCCTCCAATGGCAGTTGGAAATCGAAAAGAGTAGCCTAACGGTGCTGCCCGGACAAAATTTAAAGTTAAAAATCTACCCAAAGTATTTCAGGATCCTGGCAGGTGTTACAGAGCATGTGCACTGTGCTGAGCTCCTTCGGACTCAGACTTGAGTTACAAGAAGAACGGAGCACTTACGGGTTGCTACCCGTGTGCCGTGATGTTTGTAAGTTTGTTGTTCAAACCTCAAACCTCTTTA